CAGTCATTTTTTTGATTATTTGCATCCTAGGGTCCCTGAAGCATGAAACAAAACTGCCAAATGACGAAAACAAAAAGGGCCAAGCAAGTACCCAAGAGCCTAGCTCAGTGGGTACACACATGAACTGTTGAAGTACAGAACTGTGTTCAAATCCAGATGATGGAACTTGACGAGTAAAACCAACTACTAATGAATTGCTTGGGGACGGTCAGCTCAATGGTAATATCTCAAGGCTGTCGCCCTTTTACGAAAAAAAAAAAAAAAAAAAAAAAAAAAAAGGGGGCCAAGCAGAAGCAAACCCCCATTCAATAGCAAGTCAGACATTAACCTCTCCTGTTGCTTGCACTTCCTCCCCTCTGCTCCCCCACCCCCCACCCCCTCCCTTCCCCCACCCCCCTTTCCCAACAACCCTTGTGGTAAATACTACCGTCTTCACCCAAATGGAACGCCTGGGAATTATAGCTGTATTTAGACAGAACGTTGCCCCAAATACGGATATCGAGACCAGGCGTCCTACTTGGGTGAAAACAGTATAGCCCAGTACGAATTTAATCCAAGGAAGTTAAAGGAACTCAAAATGCAGACTAGAACGTACCGCATCAGACCATAAGTAATATTATGACAAAAAATGCAAAGACATGAAAAGTCGATAAATACCTCAGCGATGCTCCATGAACGGCGGACAATTCTACGACTTAAGTTAGCAGAGTGGAGGCGGACTTGGTGCGCGGCACTCACCTCTTCAAAGCAGCAGCTCTCTCGGCCATCCTCTCTGCGACACGCGCTCGTAGCCTGGCAATAAATAATCATTCGAAAAATGTCAAATCCCAACATCACCGGAACAAGTATTTGGAAATGTGTAAGGCAAACTGTGTCGAAATCGAAATCAGCGTAATCGTTTGTTTTTTCCTTTTTTTGAAGTTTGATTTAGTTTATTTTAATATTTTCTTTATTTTCTCAATTTTCTTTATTTTCTTTACTTTTGGCCTTTCTTTTTATTGTTTTTTTCTTATCCCCCCCCCTCTTCCCCCTTCTTTTCCCTTTTTTCTCCCCTTTTTGTATCTGTTATGATCCTGGCTATCTCACAGTGCAAAACTTCAAAGAAAGACGACGCTGTTCAATTGCAACTGAAGTGAAAGAAATTGGAGACAGAAATAGATAGAGGGAGAAGAAGAAACAAGAATGGAAGAAGAAGAAGAAACAAGAATGGAAGAAGAAGAAGAAACAAGAACGGAAGAAGAAGAAGAAGAAGAAGAAGAAGAAGATGAGCACTAGAAAAGACCAATGTCAATTCCCCTTCATCTCGCCACCATCTTCATCCTCCAATACCTTCCCAAATGTCTCATCAACAAGAACAAGAAGAAGAGGAAGAAGAAGAAGAAGAAGGATGAAAGAATGAACCAGAACCAATGTCCGAATCTCCTCATTACTGCCAGCAACTCAAGAGGTACACCATAGCCATCCTACACCTCCTCGCACTTGGTCAAGCCGGTGGCTATGGCGGACTACCGGAGGTGAACTCCGACGTTCAAAGGGACCATGCATAGCTACTATGTCTCTCTCTCTCTCTCTCTCTCTCTCTCTCTCTCTCTCTCTCTCTCTCTCTCTCTCTCTCTCTCTCTCTCTCTCTCT